GATCCATATACACGTCGCCTTCCATGGTTCCCAGTTGAAGAGTTGCCTGGCGTACTAGTTATAGCAGATGGGACATCAGTGGTACCTTTGGAGGACATTCAAGTCGATGGTCGCCTGAATTACATCGAGAGGCTGGTGATGATTCTGGATCGGAAAGTGAAAACCTTTAGGAACAACGTATTGACCTTAGTTAAAGTTTAGTGGCAGCATAGGAGAGGCTCTGTGTGGACTTGGGAGCCTGAGGATGAGATGTGGGAGCATTATCCAGATCTGTTCGCAGAGACTGACTTCGAGGACGAAGTCCGATTCTAGTGGGGGCGAATTGTAACACTCGTTGCCAGGTAATTTCCTCTTTCAGCCCTTATGTTTTAAAAAGTTTGCATAAAAGGTCCTTACGCGGGACGTACAAAGTGGTACATTGGGCGTAAGTCAACATCTTGGGCGGGTTAATACTTGAGTACGTTGGGCGTACATATGTGTATGCCAGGAGTACTCGTGTTGTCTCCAAAACCCTAATCTTTTGGGTGAGGCCAGTAATTAAACAACATAAACCCTATTGGACCATCTCATAAACAACCTCCATGTCATACAAAACTTAAATCAAACCCTAGATTGTGTATGAGAGTTTTGAAGCTTGGAAAGTGATTCTTGAGTGTTTTGTGTTTAGAAGGAAGATCATTTTTACGGCCAGAAATGACCGATTTTGTTTATGTTTTTTAATAAAAATCAGAGTAACTTCTTAAGAAAAGTATTGCGGAATTTGATCCCAAAACAAAATATGATATAAATTTATCAAAGCATTTCTTAAAGAAATGTATTTTCATTATATTACAAAAACTCGGGATGTCAATCATCGATACAGACCATAAGCATAAACCAAAAAGAAATAAACATCTTAGACCACAAAACACAATCTGGTCTCAAATCCATATTCTCTCGTCAAGTCATCCAACTATGATTTTCCACTACCTGTAATACAAGAAAACTGAGTGGGTCAGGCCGGGGAGCCTGGTGAGCATATAGGGTTTTCAACCCACAATAATAAGTTCATTATTTATTTTCATCAAATCACTAACCTGATTACCCGTTCCCGTTATCCTCACTTTACGTCCCTAAAGCATCTATTATAAGGGACCTATCCTAAGGATTTTTCTTCGGGGTGACAACACTGCTTAGGGAAACCATGGGGGGGGGGATGGAGTACATCTTCAAAAACACCTACAGGTTGCGAGCCTGCTAGCGTTCCACTGGACTGCCTAGAAAAGTCTGTGGTCGTCATCTATACTCCGCTAGACGACTGGATCATCTTAAACATCGTAAGCATCAAGGCCTCTCATCATTTTAACACACATCATCTATTTCATCTACCCATTATTCTACCCAACATATTTGTAGATATAAATACATACACAGTCTAGATCTGAAAAACAATGTTTACATCTTTCATCCAGCATAACTCTCAAAGCATAAAACATTTACACAGTCTAGATCTGAAAAATAATGTTTACATCTTTCATCCAGCATAACTTTCAAAGCATGAAATACATATACGGTCTAGATCTGAAGAAAAAGTTCAGATCTGAAGGAAAGAAGTTCAGATCTTTCATCCAACAAAGATCTCAAAGTATACAGTTTAGATCTGAAGAAAGAGCTTAGATCTGAGATGAGAAAGTGTAGATCTGAAGGAAAAAGTTTCAGATCTGAAAGAAAGAAGTATAGATCTTTCATCCAGCAAATACCTCAGGTAAACAGATAACATATATATACACATAGCACATAATTTATATAAAATACTTCATATCTATGTGTAAGATGAAAGTGACTATACACTCACTTGATACGGAGTGATTCGGACATCACTTCGCTTCTTAAAATAATTTTCTTTGACGAAACCGGGAAGTTTGCTTGAAAACCGGGCTCCGCGCGGGCAAAGTTTCAAACCGAAGAACTCTTTTTCTCGGAGCCTTCGGGCTCTCCGCAGCTTCCTTCGGGGGCTAGGGGGTTTTCCTAGGCTTTAGGGAGGCTAGAGAGAGAAAGTAGTGAGAGAGAGATGGATTTGGTGTGAAAATGAAGGCAGCCCTCGGTCCCCTTTTATAGGCGAGACCTCGGACGTACGCTGGGCGTACCGAGGCTTCTACGCGGGGAGTACTCCTCGCTCCGTACACACGTGTCCGATTCTCGGTGGTGGTGCGTGGCTTATCTCGGACCACAGAAAAAGTCAATACGCGGGGCGTAGGGTTCTCGTACGCGGGGCGTACTTGGTACGCGAGGCGTCCGAAGCCTACGTTGGGCGTAGCCTCGCATCCAGCTTCGCAATTTGCACCTCCGACTTCTAAAATTCATATCTTTCGCATACGAGCTCCGTTTTCGACGTTCTTTATATCCACGCGTAGGTGAGACCGTACTCAGCAACTTTTGTTTAGACTTCGTCGGTTAATTCTCGACTGATTTTAAATTTATATTCTTTAACAGGCCGGGACAAGATTAGTCCGTTAAAAACCCATAACTTCTTCATCCGATGTCCGTTTTCGTCTGTCTTTTTATCGTTACGCTACTATTAATGAGATCTTCGATTGCCATTTGGGTTGTTTCGGCCAACAATCGTCCGATCTACTATTCGAACTTCGGGGTTGTGCACTGCTGATTCAAAACTTAGAAAAAGTACCACCTCCTCATACGAAGTCGGATTTGGGCGCTCTTTTTATGCACGCTCTCTGTTTAACGAACACTACAACTTTCATGTAGATCACCAAGGCTAAAAAGTCCTCTATCGTAAATTCACTATTTACGTCACGCAATGTCGTGTCGGTTATGTCGCGAAACTTTGACAGGCCATAACTTCTTCGTTATAACTCGGATTTCGGCGCTCTTTGTATGTCCGGAATCCTTGTCACGACCACTACAACTTTCTTTATCGTTATCGGGCTTATCTAACATTTAATATTATTATACTTTATTTTTGTCATTTATTTATTATATTATTATAAACAAGTAATAAGCACACAAAAGCACATAATTCACATAATATTCAAGTAATTCATCTTTATTACTTTAAAATGAGTTACAATGGTTGACCTAGACTATTACATCATCTACTAATGCTTAGCCCCGAAACACGGGCATTACACTTATAGATCCAGAAACTTCATCTCCTTGTACACCCTTTCAAGGTATAAAGTTCAAACCTTGGAGCTTATTTAGTTAAATCTTGCTTAGCCTTACATGTTGGTTCTTTTTTTCCCAAAACTTTGATCTTTGTTAGTATGGAGTACTCCAGAGCTATTAAGCCGTCCATTCACGCATTCTAAGATGTCAAAAGTCATAAAAAAGTTAGCTTGGCCATTTCCTTTCTTCCATGCAAGAGATATTGGGTTTAATGAAGTAGATAGTTAGGATTTTGGATTTTAGCTCCTTGTAGCCATCAAAAGGCTTAAAGTCAGAGTCTTTATGGATCAAGATGTTCTTTAGGGGCCAAATCTGAGTTTGTAATGGATGTCTTAATGATTAAGAATTTTTAAGAGGTTGTTGAGATCTGCTTACGTACGCTGAGCGTACGCCCAACGTAGCCAGGTTTGACTCCGTCCCGCATGCCTTACGTTCTACGCCTCACATAGAGTAAATACGCCGAGCATACTGGTCATGGGTGACCTCTGACTTCTGTTGACTTTTGTTGACTTTGGCCACTCATGTCTTAGATGGATTGTGAGGGGTTTTATAGGGGCAAAACAGTCTTTTATTCTAAGTGTGGACTGTACTTATCTTGGGTCTAGTTGTGTGTGTGGGAAATACCTTAATTATTAATTAAGGTTAATTGGTGTATTTAACATAGGCGGAGTCTAGTTTCGGCAATTCGGGTGTGAGTTCTATCAGTCATCAGTACCAGGTGAGTCTCCGCACTTATTCTTACATGTATGGTAGAATATATATATATATATATATATATATATATATATATATATATATATATATATATGTCTGTGTGTGTGTGATGACCAGCTGGGTCTGAGTGTTATTATTGTGTTTGTGTTTGCTTCATAGGTGTTGACACTTTGGGTAGTCTCCCGAGTTGCTGATAACCTACAAAGCGTGTTGGTTGCCCATTTAGACTTCGAGTGGTCTCCAGGGTTGCTGATAACTCATAGCTGATTATTTTGTGTTGTGTTGTATGTGGTATTTTGGGTAACTCACTAAACTTTGTGCTTACAGTTGTTGGTTATATGTGTTTCAGGTACTTCTGAGGATCACGGGAAAGCTAAGGCTTGATTGTACATATTCGCCAGAAGATCATGTTACTGAATATATTTTTGGGACACTTTGATATTTTGATGTGGAATTATATCTTACATTATGACTTTTCTTGAGATGGTTTTTATGAAATCTGTTTTCATATGGAATTTAAAATGAAAATTTGGATGTTACAGTATACTGGCCAATCCCTTGATGCTTCATACATAAGAAGCCTTCCCAGCCCAACCATGGCATTCTCTGCAAATGACGTTGTTATAAACAAAAGTATAACATGTGATTTAACAAAAACATGAGTGAATGAAGTTGTTACATGAATTTCAACTAAAAGTCATCCAAATTGCATGTCACATTAGGGTTTGAAGAGAGGCAAAGTAAGATATTGTAGTCGAAAAACATGAAGTTGATCCTTGGAAAGAAAACCAAATAGATGATCAGGTAAAAAACCAAAACCCACATTAGAAAAAAAAAGATGACGGAAAATGATTAGTGATTAGAAAATTCGTAATCTGAGAACCATTGTTAAGATGTGTAATAATATGTATTTAAGTCTAAGTTTTCAAAACCATGGTTTCATTTTCATGGTATAACACATACGGTCGTTCTCTATGAGATCAAAGACACTGAATGACAGGATAAAGCAATAACATACGACTATATGCACCTTCTTTCTTCCTGAACTTATATTACTAAACTTTTCTTCTTTCTTGATGTATTTTACTTCTACTAAAAGTTCCAACAAGATTCACAAGTCTCTAATTTACGTTGATGATAAATAACATCAAGAATAGAGAACCACTCACCACAATTCCATTTACTCGTGGATTGGAAGAGTGCATCATGACAGATAATACAATAAGTATGATAAGCTTCAGGGCAATTCCTGCAGAAAAAAACCATCAACATTACATTAAGCAACTCAATCCAAATAAGTTAAACCTTGTAACCCAAAAGAATCATCAATTACCACAGTCACCATTAAAGGAAATCCAGAAAACATCCTCCTGTCAAAAAAGAAAGTACAACATCATCTGTAGTAGGCCCAAGTGCAGACTGAATCTCCCCTGAAATTGTAGAGAAAAAGGGGAGATGGAGGAAGGATCGATTGTGGATGTGGGGGATGTGG